AAAAGATCAAAAAGAACAGGAAGAACATTTAGCCAATCAGAAACATAGACCAGGAATGACCATCAGAACTACCAACTGTAGGATACAAAATTATAATACAATACCCTCCCTTAATTTTGGCAAGCGTACAGACATGACGATATTAACAAATCGTATACAAAACTCAAAAGTGAAAAGTTAAAGTTAAACGGCCCAAAAATAAAAGTATCACAAGGCAAGTGAAGTTAAATTTACACGGCCAACAAGATAAAATTATCACAAGGCAAGTAAAAACGTATAAAAATAATACTGTTCACAATCACAGATAAAATGAATTTAACATTGCAAAAATTCACTAAATGAGAGATCAAAATGAAAATTAACATTGCAAAGTTTACTACTTAAGAAAGCAAATGAAAATTAACATTACAAATTCACTACATGAAAAAAAAGGCAAGAAAGCATTTAACATTGCAAAGTTTCCTTAAATGAAAAGAAAATTAATTACAAATCATAAGCAAGCTAAATAAGAGCTCTAGTAATTAACACAGCAAAAAAAAACATTTACCTATAATCACAAAATTATGGCAAACTAGTCACACACATGAAAAATAAAATAGGAACAAATTAAATACATGACTAAAGAGGGAAGCTACATTACAAACCACACAAGCCCAAAGACTTCAAACACTTACAGAACTTCAATTTAGCAAGAGGTTTAGTAAACACATCTACAGGCATATCTAAAGTGTTCATGTACTTCACAGAAATTTCACCACTCTTTGACACTTGTTGAATGTAGTGGAACCTCACATCAATGTGTTTGGTTCTCTTCTTCCTCGAGTCGTTCCCAACCATGGCCTGGGCAGACTTGTTGTCGTTGAAGAGGACGGTTGGTGAGGTGGTGGAGCCAGGGCAGAACTCCTCCAGCAGGTTCCTCGTGAAAACAATCTCCTTGCAGCATTCGGACATGGAAATGTACTCTGCCTCTGTGCTGCTCAGTGCCACCACAGACTGCTTCCTGGACTCCCAAACGACAGCTCCTCCAGCCAAGGTCAGGGCAAAGCCGGTGTAGGACTTCCGGTCTGCACCATTCGCCCAGTCAGCATCCGCATAGGCAGTCAGATCTTGTCCTGTTTTGCAGAAATTGAGACAAACGTTAGTGGTGCCTCTCAAGTAGCGAAGTACCCGTTTGGCGCAAGCCCAGCTCTCCTTGTCAGGGCAGGCGTTGTTCTGGCTGAGTTGACTGACGGCATAAGCCAAGTCATATCTGGTACAGACAGCAAGGTACATCAAGGAGCCAATTAACTCTTGGTACTCCCTAGCATCAGAACTGTTGACAGGATTAGAACGATTAGGTGTCACCATGTTCTCCAAAGGTGTAGCGATGGGGTGACAGTCGTCCATGTCGAATCTCCTCAAAACTTCCTCTGCATAGTGGGCCTGGCTGAGCTGGAAGTCGTTCCCCTTCCTGATGACCTTGATTCCCAGGAACTCGGAAATCTCTCCAAGGTCCTTGATCTTGAATCTCGTGGCCAATTTGGACTTCAGGGATGCCATCAGCTCCGGTGAATCACTAAACAAGAAAAAGTCATCTACATACAAGGCCACATAAATGACTTTGCCGTCAGAGTGCTTGTAGAAAACACAGGGCTCGTGCTCTGATTTCTTGAAGTCAAGTTCTTGCATAACGCTGTCCACCTTCTCGTACCAAACACGAGCAGACTGCTTCAAGCCGTAGATCGCCTTCCTGAGAAGACAAACTTTGTCCTCGTTCCCCTTGCTGACAAACCCCTCTGGCTGCTCCATGTAGACAACTTCAGTCAGGTCCCCGTGGAGGAACGCAGTTGTGACATCCATGTGGTGGACATCCATTCCCTTCTCAGCAGCTAGGGCAAACAGCAACCTGATGGTAGAGTGTCTCACAATGGGAGAATAGGTCTCATAGTAGTCCACACCATGACGCTGAGTGAACCCTTTGGCAACAAGTCTAGACTTGTGCTCACGAATGGAACCATCAGCAGATTTCTTCGTCTTGAAGACCCAGCGGCACTTAACAACATTTACATCTGGTCGAGGTACAAGTTCCCAGGATTTGTTCTCAACATGAGAATTGTACTCACGATGCATGGATACATCCCAAAGCTTGCTGTCACTCCTACTCTTGGCCTCGGCATACGAAGTGGGATCACCTTGGGAAACAGCACGGTCCATTGCCATGTACAGCAGCATATTGGAGAATCTTGCTGGCAGCTTCTTGTTCCTTGTGGGGCGGCCCTCCCTCAGATCTGAGTCTTCATGTTCTGAAGACTCGTCTGGTTCTGGGTCTTGACCTGTAGGCATAGAATCAGTAGAGTCAATCACACCATGGTCACCTGAGCATGGTCCAGACTCGTCACTGTCAGCCTCAGCAGTCAGGTCTTCTAGGAACTTGACATCTCTCGCTGTTGTCACCGCAGCAGGACTCTTCTGTGGCGCCACTCTGTAGCCCTTGGTGCCGTCGCAGTAGCCAACCATCCAATGTGCCTCAGCTCTGGAGTCGAACTTCTTCCGCTTCTCCTTTGGGACATAAACATAACATTTAGAGCCAAAAATTCTGAGATTTGACAAGTCAGGTTTCTCGCCGCTCCAAGCCTCTTCTGGGGTAGTCCCTGGCAGCGCCCTGGTGGGCACACGGTTCTTGATGTAAACTGCAGTTTGGACGGCTTCAGCCCAGAAGCGCTTGTCCAATCCGGAATCCATGAGCATGGCCCTCGCCTTGTCGTTGAGAGTCCTGTTCAAGCGCTCAGAGATTCCATTCATCTGCGGGTTGTAGGCTACAGTGGTTTCATGAATAATTCCAGCTTCTTTAAGGAGATCAGACATACCAAGATACTCTCCACCGTTGTCACTACGCAGGCGCTTGATCTTCTTTCCTGTCTGGGTCTCAACCATAGTCTTGAATTCCTTGAACTTCTCCGTGACATCATCCTTGTGCTTGAGAAAGTACACAAAAGATTTCCTCGAGAAAGCATCGGTGAAAGTTGCAAAATAATTGGCTCCTCCCCATGAAGCCACTTCCGCAGAACACACATCAGACAGGATCAGGTCCAAAATGTGCTTCGCCTTGCCAGGCTTGGGTCTCCCAAGGAAAGGGCGTTTCGCCATTTTCCCCTGCAGACATGGAACACAGTTGGGTTTCTCAACATAGACAAAATCAATACCTGTTGCCAATTTCTTGAGTTCCAACATAGACTTCGGGTTCAGGTGAGCAAGTCTTCTGTGCCAAAGTTCAAAACTGCCATCATCATCCTTGGGTTTCTCTTCTTGCACTGGATTCTGGTTGTCGCAAGTTGGTGCGTCATCAGCTGGGTTCTCAGTAGGAACATCCTGTGCGATAGTTGCTCTGTGCTTGGGTGCCTTCTTGGATTCCAATAAATACACACCATCCTGTGCATTCGCTGTCATGTGCACCTGGCCTGCAACTTTGAAATCATTAACATGATACATTCGACAAGCATCTTCATCAAACACTAGACGCCAGCCCTTGGCAGCCAAGCCATGGACAGAAAGAAGGTTAGAAGCCACTTCAGGAACCAAAAATGCATCTTCAATAACTCTGTGAACGTTGTCAATCTCAATGGGAATATTCCCCTTGCCTCTTGTCTCAATAGAAGAGTTGTCAGCAATATAAACACCATGGCCGCTCACATCTTGCAAGGATTCAAACAAATCTCTTCTTCCAGACATATGATTTGAGCACCCAGAATCAACAACCCAAGTGGTGTGCCTAACATGGCTGACATTCATAGCTACCAACTTAGCGCTGTGCTTCTTCTCGTGCTTCTTAGAAGGCTCCGGTTTTCCACCGCCAGAGTTTGAATCGTGCTTCCCCTTCTCCTCTGGGCACTTGGATCTGACATGTCCCAGCTTCTGGCATCCAAAGCATTTGGGCTGCCACTTCTTCTTGCCGTTGTTGCCAGCAAATAGAGCCGTTGTTCCTGGAGCATTAGGGATATTAGTACGAACATCAGTAGACAGTAGGCGAGTACGAACCAAGTCAGAAGTAATCGCAACATTTGAGTTCTCAATAGCCATTACAAAAGGGTTTCCCTATTTTGGGCCAAGGTTGTTCAGCATAATAACCCCAACATATTCATCGGATAATGGAGATCCAATTTCCTTCAACTGTCTTGCTGTGCTCATCACATTGTCAACATAATCCCTCACACTGTTGAAATGATCCATCTTCACATTCATGATGTGCCTCTGTAGACTCATCTTCCGGCCGAGTCCCTTCGATTCATAGGCTTCTGCAAGCGATTTCCAGGCAGCATTGGCAGTCGCCACATCACTAGGGATATTAATCTGAGCAGATTCGTCGACGTACAAACAGATCTTCGCCAAAGCACGGCCATCCAGCACACTATCGGGATCATTGACAGTTCCAGCAGCATACTCCCACAAGCCCTCGTGCAACAACAGCATTAGCATGTTGAACTTCCATGAAAGATAGTTTTCAGGACCCTGAAGTTTTCGCACATTGCTAGGGAGACTGCCTCCACCACTCACGATAGTTCTCTCGTTGCTTGATCCGCTGCCGCTGGATTCGCCTTCATGGTCTTGTCGTCTCGTGTTCACCATGATGACAGCTGGCAGCTAACCTCTTCAAAACACGTGGAGTTCAGACTTCCGGTAATCTTCAAAGTATCGCAGCAGTCACGTTGTCTGGGCCCATAACCTATTGGAGGTTTATGAGGACTGGGCGGATACTTGAGTGAAGTAGAGTCAGTAACGAAACAAACGTGTTGAATTTAATGCGCAGATCAAACAGGAGAGTCGATACAAAGGAGGTCAGTCATTATATATCAAAAGATCAAAAAGAACAGGAAGAACATTTAGCCAATCAGAAACATAGACCAGGAATGACCATCAGAACTACCAACTGTAGGATACAAAATTATAATACAATAGGTACAAGCCGTTTCTGAAACTTAAGAGTTGCTTCCTGAACCTATGAAATTATGTAGCTTACTAACGGAGTTCTTCTTCATTCATAGCTAAAAAGGTTCGAAATATTAAGTTGTGGACCTCTTACAAAGTCAATTGTAAGCTAACGATGAAATTTTTGGAAATTATTATATACGAGATGTTTCTAAAGCAGAAGATACAATCTAGGCAAAACGGTACGGAAAATTCTGTTAACAACTTGTGGAAATTCTTCGTACCAACCTTGTCAATATTGCCCGTAGGACCGTACAGTCTTCTCCGCAGGACTAAACAGTCTTCCAGGCCCTACAGAGAATACTGTAAGATCCTAAGGAGAATATTGATGAGATGGCTACGGAGAATCCTGGCAAAGAAAAAACGAACAGAATTTTCCCAATCTTTTTGCCACAGTGTCCATACTTCGAGGGCAAAACCAGCAATTATCGTCAAAGTTTCGTAAAAATGCTTAGCGTGTAGCACCTGGAATGAGGGCGTTTTCGGTCAAGAATGTTCTGACTTTCAGGAATGTGACTCATGTCACAAAATACAACTGCCCTGACTGACTATTCCAGCCAACGAGGGTGACATTTCATTTCGGTATTGCAGGTGAGCACGGCCGAGGTGGTCCTTTCTGGGTATCATGTGGACGCATTCGCATTGTCCATGGTGCCGCTTCTTCTCATCTTCTTTGTATCGCAGTGCCTCTCGGGGCAACTCTTGGAAAGCAGCAGTTGGGGAGTGGCATGGAATGCCTACCAGGTGAGACGTTCAGGGCACTTTACCAAAAGATTCATCGGCATAATAAACACTTTCCTACGAACAGTTCGTGAAACAAAGTAATTCAAAGATACTTTGCAACTTTGCGAACAAAGCACTTACAATGCTTTGTACACTGTCAGGAATCTTTGTAAAGACAACAAAAGTTCCTTCGCCTACATTTTTTTTTCTCCAGAAGGTCCTTCGTTCTCTCCGGATATTTTTTCGTGCAGTGGACTCACAAGCGTTTCTGTACAGGGTCCCTGGCTTGCCGAGGACATTGTCTCCCGCCGCCTCCGCCTACTGGCCATGCAGAGAGCGAGCCGTCCCATCAACTTCGGCGTCCCAGGGCTGCTGATGCTCAACCACCGGTCCTGCCAAAAGGCGCTCCAAAGGTGGTTGCAGTACTTGCAGGTCCTGATCAGTATCCAAGGACGCCGACCAATCGCGCAGTAGCGAAAGCAAGGAAGGTCACTGCTTACCTTCAACACCTGCTATAGTCTGCTAGTTACAACAAAGTAGCAGATGAGGATAAATTTTTAAGATTTAAAATAAAGGCAGTTTTAGTGCCCCAAATCCCTGACATGTTTCTCTCTTATACGCGTCATCCGTAGGCACTAATTTTATTATCTTATGCCTTTACTGTTCCTCCCGGTACTGACAAATTTTTCTGGGACAGGCTAGTTTCACTTAACAGTATCTTTAATTGCCATAGAAGATGAGAAGGTGCAAGTGGCATGCCCACAACTCAAAAGTTCATAACTTCCAAACTCTTCCTTATCACAGGGTTCTCAGGTTTGACAATGTCTGAGATGATGATGGACTCTTTCGAAACAGAAATGGTCCTTGAATCGGACAAAGTTAACCTTAGATAATTTAATACAATCTGGCAAACTATTGAAAAATTCCAATGCTAATCGCATTGCAAGGTGTTCCCATTTTCACATTTGGCTATTTTTAAATAGCCATGTATTGGACCGTGCAGTGCCAACTGTTCAATGATTATGAGAAAATCCAAAAATTTCAAAGTGCGCATGCGCTAAATTCAAAATAACCAATAGAAAAGAGTTCTGGTCAAACCTGATTCAGTTAATACCATGACCACCTCACTCCATCTCGTGACTAACAGTGCTCATGTTCGCCAAACGAAAGTCACCCGCGTTCCGAAGTCACCCCTCCCGAGTTTATAAAGTTTGTCAAACCAACCATGGTGCTGTTTTCACGTTGTGAGTAAGAACTGTTCTACAGAATTGAGGAAAACATGACAAGACAACCGCAGCCTTTTAAAGCATGCCAAACAATCCAACCTCAGCAACAATGGAGGGGCAGTTTCAATGCGCGCCTACTCGTTTTTTCAGCCTCGCGATTTTCGAAAGGGCGCAGACGGCAAGAAAATCGGTGCCAACCCCCGAAAATTAATTTGATGCGTTGTTTCTGCTACGAACTTTTTACTAGTGATAGACTTTAAAGATGTTCCAACGTCGGGACACCGTGCAATGCGTTAGCATTGGCATTTTCGAATTTCACGGCGTTTTGATTTCTCTTTATCGGCGACTTAAAATTTTGACGGGTGGCACGATGGGACCATGCCGTTGCCATGGAGATTTTTTTTTCATGTTTTAACCATTTGCTCAGAACACAGACCATATATTGTTACTTTGATGAGCCAGGAGGTTTAGATTTGAGGAGTGGCACATTTTTTATTTGAACCATTTTTTCATATCATTAACGATTCTCGTTTTCGATTGTTGCAAATTTATGTTTTTCTAATTTACGGAAAATTTCCACGATGAATTTTCAAAAAAAATTGGAATTTTCGTTTTATTCATGGTTGAAATAGTTTAGAGTTATTTATTTGAAAATCGGAGAGGGGGGGGGGAAGAATCCACGGACCTCGGACAATAGGGGTTCTTGGGAACCCCTAAAAAAGAATAAGCTCTTCTCTCAAGGCAAGCCACCTCCCTCATTAACCTGTGATGAAGGATGTATTGTTTCATTTTCTCCAGTTTCATTTACCGTACATCTTTATTTCAATTACCTTGTTTACAACGTTGGATGAGCATCCTTCCTGAATCAACCAGCATTTCGAACCAGTCAATATCCCAACTTTTAAATTATCAGATCACATCTTCTACACAATCAATGCCCATCACCGCACTGAAAAACAAAACGTGGTCTAGACCTAACCACTGGTGTTGTCAAATGGGTGACATTTTGAACAAATCAGTTGGTGTGGTGTAGACCACGTATAGGCACGTTTGGTGTGATCTAGACTACGTTTGGTGTGGTCTAGACTCGGGTCTAGACATTTTTTTTTTGGTTTTTCAGTGCGGTCTCTCACTACTGTAAAACTTGTACTATTTTTTCAATTTCTTTTTTCCCCCTTTTCACACATTTTGCTTTAGGTCCACACATTTTCGGTTGTCAGTGAAATCCGCAGTACCGGCTTTTCAAACGTACGGCGCTGCCCTGGCGAAAATCGGAGGCCTACCAACGCCCTTGGAGAGCGTACTGAGCGATTCTCACGTTTCGGGGTAGTTTCGTTTCTTCTGACTCCTGTGCCCAAACGAGCGCAGATATCGACATGGGGTTTGTTTCTGATGTTAGGGAGGGCCATTGCCCACTAAACGCACACATTTCGAAAAGTTCACGTTCGTTGGTTTGGTGTACGTAGCGTTTGGAATACCCTAAATGTAACTTCCGTGATTGTCCAAAGAGAACATACTCGAACTTTCCGCCCCCAGTGTGGTGGTGTGGTTCGAAAATGCTGCCAACTGTCGATGGGGATTCGAAGCTTGGCATGTCTCGAGCTAATTTCGACCGAAGACCAATACGCCAGACTTCTTTCAAAGGTACTTATGCTGCAACGAAAAATGTCCTCCGTATATTCAATTTCACTACACAAATTTCGAAAAGGCAGCTGTGGACTTCTCCCCAAGCCAAACTTTAAACTTTCCATGACACGAGCCATCAAAGTGGAGTCCCTGAGATATAATTGCATGGGTCGCGGAAATCTAAGATGCTGTACACGGTCTCAAAGCGGGCTAGAGCATTATAAAATGGCGTGTATCAACAATTACCTGTAACTTCCGTGGCACCCTTTACCCAATGTTGCAGCAGCACTAGGTGAAAAAATTTTCCGCTTAAATGTCGGGCTTAGAGTATCATTTGACCCTGGAACGACTTTTAAGCCACAGCAAGCCCGAGTCAGCCGTTAAAGCCGATTTTCACACTTTGTAACTTCCGTGATAACGTAATTTCCGTGATCAAAACACCCACTAAAACGTATGGGAATACCTTATGGCTCATGTTTTTAGGAAGGTAGTACAAGGTCTTTACTATAAATACCATTGCCATAACTCTAGTATCATCCAGGACCCCAATAATCAGAAAAACTTAATTGGATATTTCTCACTTTCGGCAAATCAGAGACGCCAAAACTACCCCGAAACGTGAGAATCGCTCTACTCAGGGTGTGGGCAGGGCGTGCGTTACGCTCTCGCCCGCAGTACGCTAACGGAACACCCTGGCTACGCCTTGAGAGAGCGCAGAGTTCCGCTCCCCTGTGTCAGGTGCTCTTGACGCCCGGCGTACGCCCTGCCCACGGTCAGACAGGGCGTTGGGCTACGCTCTGGCAGGGCGTTCTGTTCCGCTGTCCAGCTTTTTACAATAAGTTGTAACTTTACTATAGACTATGGTTCCGAACACATGGATGTTGGACAAGTGTTGTACTTGGTTTAGCCAGATTTCAGCTGGCAGCCGGTCTACTGTGGAAGACGGACTTCTGTTGATCAGATAGGCGGCAGTTTGAAGTGCCTCTCCCCACATGGTGGGTTTTAGTTGAGAGTCAAACAGGAGAGCCCTGGTTTTATTCAGAAGACTTCTATTCATTCTCTCAGAAGTGCCATTTTGTTGCGGAAATCTAGGGATGCTGTAGTCAAGTATTATTCCTTTCTGTCGACACCAGAGCGATTCTCACGTTTCGGGGTAGTTTTGGCGTCTCTGATTTGCCGAAAGTGAGAAATATCCAATTAAGTTTTTCTGATTATTGGGGTCCTGGATGATACTAGAGTTATGGCAATGGTATTTATAGTAAAGACCTTGTACTACCTTCCTAAAAACATGAGCCATAAGGTATTCCCATACGTTTTAGTGGGTGTTTTGATCACGGAAATTACGTTATCACGGAAGTTACAAAGTGTGAAAATCGGCTTTAACGGCTGACTCGGGCTTGCTGTGGCTTAAAAGTCGTTCCAGGGTCAAATGATACTCTAAGCCCGACATTTAAGCGGAAAATTTTTTCACCTAGTGCTGCTGCAACATTGGGTAAAGGGTGCCACGGAAGTTACAGGTAATTGTTGATACACGCCATTTTATAATGCTCTAGCCCGCTTTGAGACCGTGTACAGCATCTTAGATTTCCGCGACCCATGCAATTATATCTCAGGGACTCCACTTTGATGGCTCGTGTCATGGAAAGTTTAAAGTTTGGCTTGGGGAGAAGTCCACAGCTGCCTTTTCGAAATTTGTGTAGTGAAATTGAATATACGGAGGACATTTTTCGTTGCAGCATAAGTACCTTTGAAAGAAGTCTGGCGTATTGGTCTTCGGTCGAAATTAGCTCGAGACATGCCAAGCTTCGAATCCCCATCGACAGTTGGCAGCATTTTCGAACCACACCACCACACTGGGGGCGGAAAGTTCGAGTATGTTCTCTTTGGACAATCACGGAAGTTACATTTAGGGTATTCCAAACGCTACGTACACCAAACCAACGAACGTGAACTTTTCGAAATGTGTGCGTTTAGTGGGCAATGGCCCTCCCTAACATCAGAAACAAACCCCATGTCGATATCTGCGCTCGTTTGGGCACAGGAGTCAGAAGAAACGAAACTACCCCGAAACGTGAGAATCGCTCACCAGTCTTTTAGTCTGTTGGAGACATACTCTCCTCCGTTATCGCAACGGATCTTACTGGCTTTGAATTGTAACCGATTCTCATTTTCCAGACTAAAAGACTTGAGATTTTCAAAGACTTCACTTTTTTGTGTCAGGAGGAAAACTGTGCAAAAGTGAGAGAAGTCATCCACTATGACAACATAGTACCTGTATCCATCGTAAGTTACTGGCTTTAGCCCTACTTCCCCAACATCAGTGTGGATTATCTCCAACACACGTGTAGCCCTCTCACGGGGTGTGTTATGGGGTAATTTGGTTTGTGATGCTTGAGTGCAAATCTCACAGACGAAATCGAGATTTTTGTATGGTATTTTAAAGGCTCCTCCTTGGCAGAGTGAGGGTAGTTTTTTTAGTTGAGAGAAATGCATGTGTACCATTTTTCTATGTCATTTTATTAAGTTCTTGTCCACAGTTGAGGACAGAGCCTTTAACCCATCACCATCCGTTCCGAGATTCACAGGCAAGCTGATTTTATAGACGCCGGCTGGAGTTCTGGTACCCTTCAGTAGAATAATGTCCTCGGGCACCTCCATGTCGGCATTAAGGATTTTCACCTCGTTTCCATGAAACAGTCCAGAACTGTTACTCCTCTC